CACACACACACACACAGCTGACCTCGACTGTCCCAAATGCTCTACTCTTAACAGTCCTGGAGGGAATGGATTTATCTGTTTGTCTTTATGTTTACAGAACTCTCTCTACCTCCTGTTAGGACGCTGTGGTGCTCCACCAGGTGACCCGATCAGAGAGAACAATGGACTTTAAATTCAAAAATTTCAATTGAATGGACTTTAACTGGAGTGTCATTCCTGTCATTTATCCTTCATATCAAGAACTGAATCGTTGATAAACAAATTTAAGATTCGATCCTTTTATTTAAAGGAAAAAAATACATTCTGGTTAAACTGGCCTACTGTCTTCCTCCTCAGAGTCCATTATTGTCTCTGTGACACCTGTGTTGACCGTCACCTGACCAATTACCAAAGATATTTTTCTGATACACTTTTACTCAACAGTTTACTGAAAACAGTGCCAGCGTGTGCCATTTAATGTCCTCAGTATTGCATGAAAACAAGCAAAAAAAAAACAATTGTGGTGAACTGTCGCCCTATGGAGGAAACAGAAAGCTTATAACAACAGATGTGCTTCACCTGGTTCCTTCCTGTGGATTAATGTGACATAAAGGTGAAAACCACTTCTGCTGCTGAGAGTTTCACCACAAACAGATCAACATTTTCATGCCTGCAGGAACACAAACAGATCATTTATACTATAGGGGTCTGGTCACACCATACAGTGTCAAAACAAAACGTATCTGCATGTCTACACTAAATATTTGTGTCTACAAGCTTTTAGCAATCTGTTTTTTATCATATCCTGCAGCCCTAGAAGCTGTTTGAGCTTTTCTGTCAGCTTACCGTCAGTTAGCACGCTCAGCTGCTAACAAGACAATAAGCAACAATACGCTTTATTCAGTTTATTCAGGAGGTGTACACAAATAAATACCAGGATCTTTTTTTGTTGTTGTTTGTTTTACAGTTTAGTAAACATCTCGTCTTTCACAAGCAGAATTAAATTATTACCGTGACAGCCTTACTTTTCAGTACAGAAACATATGTCACAGTGTCTTTTGTTGAAAACAGAACAGAAGAAAAGGCTGTGTTAAATAATCATCATAATGTTATAACCCTAACGCTAAGATCTAAGTGTTTCCTGTCCTGCATAAAGTCCATTAAAATCCCTCCAGCTTGCCTCTCTGCCACTGTTATTGTCAGACAATCAACAGGCTGCAGGCTATTCTGGCAGGAACAAAGGAAGGAAGGAACAAAGGAAGGAAGGGATAGAGAAAAATGGTTTGTTGGTTACAAGTTAAAAAGTTTCATTGTGAACAAGATCATTTGTTGATACTTTTAACTTCATCAAAAGTATTTAAAAGGTTTTTTTGATAGATCTTCAAAAAACAATCAAAAGTTTTGGAGAATAGCCGATTAAAAAGTAGATTATTAATCTGGTCAAAGTCACAGAAATAAATGCAGATGATTTGTGATAGTTAAAGGGTTAATTCAGATGTTGCTTTGGCTGCATTGTGAGGCTGAGACTCCTGAAGCTGCTGGTTTGAACATCAGAGCTAGCAGGAACATCCGAAACAGCAGCGCAGCATTAAAACCAGACTAAAACTTAAGTCTGAAACCAAGCAAGCAGTTAAATATTTGTGTTCCAGTTGCTTCGTAACTTTGTGTGCAAAGGAAGAAACTTTAGAATTGTGTTGTCTCCAGTTTCCGCTGACTTCAACAGTTTACCTGAAGACAGAAATATACATCCTTTCCCTTTTTAAACTGCCTTCCTAAAGTACAGCAGAGCTCCTGTAGGGGGCGCTCTGTGTTTAACAAACTCTGCTGCCCTCTGCCTTCAGTATTATCAGTTTATATGTGACACACAGGACGTAGCCACTTCAGGTGTATATGTTTTACTGTTAATGTGCAAATGGCCATACATACAGTATGTTTTTATATTAGCTCGTATACTATATATGACGTATTCCTTCCATTGCTGCAGTTCTTGAAACAGAAGATTTGATAATGTTGCTTATTGTTTATCTTCGGGGTTCAGCAGTTTGATTTTTTTCTATTGTCTGAAACGCTTTTGAGCAGTCGACTGTTAATTCTCGGTGTGTTTTAAGTACAAAATTTTTCATACTAAAGGGATTCTGCTAGAATGTGGATGCTAGAAATGCCTTATAACTCTCACTAACAAACACCTCTGCTACTAACCTGATGATGTTGTTACTCTGTTGGTAATATCATGTTATTGCAGTGTAGGTTATTAATTGTATGTTATTGTTAAAACTGAAAATAAACTTGTGAGACTCACCTGCTTCTGTCACATCTGTTCACAGCATGGAAACTGAAGTGTTGGAAAAGGTTGTCAGACAATTAAAAAGTATAACTCCCTTGCTAAATAATTAAAATGGAGTGTAAATTACAATATAATCTTTATAATTTTAATAATAAACATTTCCTTTCCAACATTCCACTTGATCAAATACATGTAAATGTATTTCACTCTTATTTACCGTTCACTAGCCGTTTTCTATTACTCATCAATTTTCCTATCTGTGCACTTCCAAGTAGCACTAGCCAGCTAATTTTGTTAACGTTAGCTTGGAGGTGTTTAGCTAAAATTGTCTTTAACCCATCCGGCAGTTCATTAAAACATCTAAAAATCCAGGTTTAAACCCATTATTGTATTTGTAAAGTTCCACCAGGATGCCACAAAGCTCAAATGTGTCATATGTTACAGACCTGTGGAAAGCCAACATGGACACATTTTGAAAATATAATATTAAATGGAGCCACAGACAAGTAGAGAGCATGGAGCAGGATTTTGTGATTAAAACTAGTTCAGAAGTCAACCCTCCAATGTTCCTACGTGTCCTGGAAAACCTGGAAATTTAGAGACTAGTTTTTTAGTCATAGAAACACCTGGAAATTGATTCAAATCACCAAACATCCTGGAAATGTATTTGAACTGAATTTACTCTCATGTTCCATTACTTATGTAGCTTATATGTTTAACGTCTCAGTAGTTTTTATTGTCAGTTGTTTAGTTTAGTTTTGATGATGCATATAACAGAAATATAGTTGGTGTGGTTTAATTGTTATTTTAAATTGATTATTTTGATGTTTATTATATTATTGTGTTTTAATTGTCTGTGTTTTTGTGTCTGGTGACAAAATTCTGAAATTAAATGTCAGCATTCACCACAAGGTGGCACAAAAACCACCAAAACTGAATCATTCAGGATCTTCCCTTTAAGTTGAATTAATACATATAGCACATATGTGTATATATATACATATATATAGAGAGAGATATTCACATCATCAATCAATGGGTTAAATTACTCTGTAGTGTCTCTAATGGTTTGTTTTTGTGGACTACAGGAAGTGAGCACGGAAAGAAGAAGACTGAAAGTTGAGCTGCTTCTCGTCTCTGTTATCTCTTCTGTGACTGTCTGTCACGTTAATTAATTTAGACTAAATCCACCAATCTCGTCACTCTGTGCAGCCTGACATTCTGCTGATGTCACTATCACATCGTCAGATCTGAGATGTCCTGTCTGTACAGAGCCCATCCCAGAATGCACTGCAGCACAGGCACAAAACCATCATTTGCTGAAGAGAAACTACGTCTCTGAGTTTTTTCATAGTTTTTTCTCGGTGTCGTATTTCCTGTTCGAATCATCCTCTCGCTGCTGGAGGCAAGATGTGCCTGTCTCACTTCCTGTCTGTGCTGTCTGATAAGGAAGACATGTGTCTCTCATGTGACCTATGAGGCTTTTAGCATTCTGATTTGTCAGATAGAGTTTAAATTTACATCCATCCTCTGCCTCATAGGCCCAAATCCACTGATTTACTCCTAATTTTTTAGGTGAGTCACTCACACAATCATTTGTAGTTATAATATAAAATATAGAGCAGTATAAACAGTATAAATACTGTCAATTAATATGAGTATATATTTATATTATATTATTATTACTAGTAATGCCTTACTGCCCAACACTGTCCCTTTTACAGGGTTTTTGTCAGCTGTAAACTTTAAAAAGTCAGCCAGAGATGGCATTTTCATTATTTCATGGAGCTAACATTAGCTGCAGCTGATAAAATCAGTCAGATTAGAATTATTGTTTTATTTATTATTAACAGGAAAGATAAAAATAGACTTACAGCAAAACAAAAGGAAGTATTGAAGTTGAGCAAAGATATTAACATAGAACTATTAGAGAAGAAGGTGAAAAATAGGTGAAGGCTACATATAAATATATGTAAAAAGCAATAATAACCAACAACATACAA